TCCAAAAAATTTTTTTCATACAAAATAAATAAAATTAACAATTTTAGTTGTAGTGACAAAGTTTTTTTTTTAATGCTAATAGACTCGGTTTCTTAAAAGAATGACTTCATTGTACCCGAAGAAAAATATCGGGACAGAAAAGTTGGCCAAATTTAATAAAAAAAGTTTTCATTCACAATGAATAACATTTTATTAAATTTGACGAACTTCTGCTGTCCCGATTTTCTTCGTCCCATACAATGAAATGATTCCTTCATAACTCTGAGTCGATCAGCACTAAAAAAGATTTTGATCAATTTTATTTGTTTTTATGGACAATTCACACTTGACCAAAAAATTGACTATGCCATAATTATAGGAAATGAAATTATGTTTCCGGATTTAAATCGCGTATATTTGTTTTTTCAAACAAATCGACGTTTCGGGCCCTTTACAGGTCCCATGGTCACGGTTGACAACCGTGTTTGAAAAAACCAATATACGCGATTTAAATCCGGAAAAACAGTTTCATTTCCTATGTGTAACAATCGCGAAAACCTAAGAACTCGATATGCCATAATTGTTTTCTTAAAAAAAGACGACTTTATAGTTCCTAAGATAGTTTCGTTGTATCTTCTATGGTTTCGGATTTCCTCATACTGTCCCGTTTTAAAAAAAACTCTGTATTTTAATAAAATAAGTTTTCGATTACATAACGTTGTCCTTTTTTGTCATAGTGATCGATATAAGAAATCATTTCCTACGTGGGTTTGTAATGATGATTTTTCTTATCAGAGTAGGTACCTACAAAGATTTTTTTAATAAACACCTCGTCTGTGTTGGCGATGTAGCGTAATGTCTGAGTAAAATAATGTCGAAGTAACATATTGTCGGAGTCGCGTGTGTCGAAGTTCCGTTTTAGAGTCACAATTTAGATATTTAGTTACTACATGTTAGAACTAATTTTGAAAAACTTTGTGACCCGGAGATATGGCCAATAAATGTAGAATATAGTGAATGGATTTGGTTTCGTCCCAACACCAACACAAACCAACCGAAAGCCAAATAGTTATTATAACATTTTTTATCAAAATGTTAGAGGACTCAGAACTAAGACAATAAAATTTTTATCATTACTAGAATCATCAGGATCTGATTTTTTTGCAATTACCGAGTCGGGCCTTAATGAAGCGATTAAGAATGCGGAATTAGTACTTCCCGACTATCAAATACTTCGTTGCGATCGGGCGGATGGGCGTAAGCAGGGAGGCGTTTGTTTAGTGGCCACACCGAGGTTCGAGTTGCGACGAGTGTCGCTGCCAGGTGACCTTGATATAGATAGTCAAAAGTATGAACTATTGTGTGTCGCTATTTATAAGCAAAATTGTTATCTATTCACGTGTTGTATCATATATATTCCTCCGGGGGCTGATGATAATGAATATTTGTCGATGTTTTCTGTATTAGAAAAGATATGTGTCAAATATAGCAATAACTTAATTGTATTAGGGGATTTTAATATGTACTCGTGTAACAACAACATTTCTAACTATTATGAATATTTCATGGCTTTCTGTGAATTCAATCAGTGCAATGCAGTACCTAACTGTAAAAATAGGCAGTTGGACCTCGTGTTGAGTGCGCGTAGTGGCGTGTCCGTGAGCGCCGCGGACGAGGGACTGGAGCCCGTCGACGCATACCATCCTCCGCTGGCCGTGCGCGTCGCGCGAGGAGCACGCGCGCCCCCGCCGCCGTCTCTTGCGCCCCTTGCCTCTCCTGCATCGCCGCATAAGCGACACTCGCAAGCTCAATCGTTGATTGCTCATACAAATTGGAATTTTAGTAAAGCAGATTTCGATCAAATGTATAGTTTGTTAGCTAAAGTAGATTGGAGTGAGATTTACGAATCATGTGATCCCGATATAGTTTTAGATTTATTTTATAATAAGGTATATGACGTTTTGGACCAGTGTGTCCCTCCAAAAAGTAAACATATTAATTCACCAAATAATAGTTACGTTTATCCAGTCTGGTACACAGCTGAAATTATTAGGGCTATAAAAGTTAAATATTTATTACATAAAAAATATAAATTAAGTAAATCACACACTGACTACATGAAATTCGCACGTTACAGGGCGAGAGTGAAAACCGAGACTGCTTGCGCGCATAATCAGTATTACAACCGAGTGCAAGGTCACCTGGCGAAGGATCCGCGTGCATTTTGGGGGTATATTAGGTCTAGGAAAGGTGACTCGAATCAGCGGAAGTTAATTAGGGATGGCCGGGTACTATCGCAAGACGAGTGTGCCAAGGAATTCGCTTTGTTTTTTCAGTCGGTGTACAATCCGGAACCTCCCGTATTGAGTGTGGCGGCGGCGAGTGCGAGCGAGGCGGCGAGCGCGTGGCCGGGAGCGCGGGTACACCTCGCGAGCCTGGCCCCCGCTGATGTAAAACGCGCGCTCGCACGTTTGCCGCCTAAGCGATCAGCCGGGCCGGATGGTATTCCGGCGTACATTTTTAGGGACTGTAGTGCAGTATTGGTTGAGCCGTTGCTACACTTGTTCAACATCTGTATCAGGACCGCAACTTTCCCTGAACGCTGGAAACTTACCCGAGTTGTGCCCGTCCCTAAGAGTAGCAAGGGCTCAACACCTAGCGATTATAGACCAGTAGCGGTGTTATGCACTCCAGCCAAAGTGTTTGAGTTGACCATTCACGGTAGCTTGTATCCACAGATCAGCGCTCTGTTGTCCGACGCGCAGCATGGTTTCCGTCCTGGGCGGGGGACAGCGGGGAACTTACTGGATCTGATGACGCAAGTAGTGCCGACAGTGGATGCGGGTCAACAGGTCGATGTTGCCTACTTCGATTTTAGGAAGGCTTTTGACATAGTAGATAACGACGTTCTTTTGGCTAAGTTGGCTGGGGTAGGCTGTACCCCTCACACTCTGTCATTTTTCGCCTCCTATTTACGTGACCGTTGTCAGTACGTTGACTGCGGTGGGCAGCTCTCTGAGCCTTATTTCACGAGATCAGGAGTTGGTCAGGGCAGTAATTTGGGGCCTTTTCTCTTCATTTTAACAACTAACGACCTGCCGAGGGTAGTAAATAAATCAATACCACTACTATTCGCAGACGACTTGAAATTGGTTCATAAAATAAAGCAAGAATCTGATCATAACATACTGCAGCAAGATATTAATAGGGTAGTAGAGTGGAGTCGTAGCAATAAGATGTACTTCAATGTGGCCAAATGTTCAGTGTTATCATTTACTCGTGCACGTGACCCAAGTCACTATCAATATTGCATGGATGGAATCCAACTGCAACGTGTCTCAGAGGTTAAGGATTTAGGCGTAAGCTTTACAGCTGATTTAAATTTCCGTAAGCATACCACGGACGTTTGTAAAAAAGCGTACCGCAATTTGGGGTTGGTCTTACGGCTAGGAAATCAGTTCTCGAACATCAGAGCTCTGAGAGCGTTGTATGAAGCGCTGGTAAGAAGTCACATGGAAGGCAATGCTGTCGTTTGGTCACCACATGAAACTAAGTACAAACTGATGCTAGAACGCATCCAGAACAAGTTTCTGAGATTCCTGTACCTAAAGCAGTATGGTGTGTATCCAGGGTATCCGTTGCTGTATCCGACACTATTCGTACTGGGCATGGTAGGATACAATAAACTGGAAGTGAGAAGAGAAGCGGATGTAGCCACATATGTATTTAAGATTATGCGTGGTAAAATCCACAACCCAAGCGTTTTAAACATGGTGGGGTTGTGTGTACCAGATGGGTACGTGGGACGGCGGAGGCGGCCGCCGCTGTTGCGGGAGCCGCCCGCGCGCACCAACCTACTGCAGCACGCGCCGCTGACGCGGGCGCTGCGTACACTCAATATGGTGTCACAACAGATTGACTGTTTCAATTGTACTTTGAGTGAATTCACACGGGCCGCTTTTTGTGTTATAACTTTAGGTTTAGAATAATAATAAGTAGACTTTTAAATACAACTACACTATTGTATTAGGTTAAACCTGTGATGATAGCTGTACGTGTTGAATAAATAAATAAAAAAAAATAAAAAAAAAAAAAAAAAAAAAAAAAAAAGAAAACTGCGACCACAATATTTTTTTTCAAATATGAGAAACATACAATATCACTCAATGTTGGTAAGTGTTAGGTGACATTGTTTACGAAAAATAGGAACCCCTTTGCTTTTCAACTACAACAATCGGTACACTCGTACCCGAGTCCAAACTGTTCGCGAGTTAGGAGTGTATTTTGACTCTTTTCTAACATTTCGCCCTTCAGTAAGGCAAGTAAAATGCTATTCTTTCTACTCCGACACGCGAAAGTATTTAAAAATATAAAATAGTGAATAATCTTGTATGGAGCCCTCGACAGAAGTATCGCCGGGCGGTTAGCTCTCCTATCCTTGGTATATTAAATCCACATAGAGGATAGAAGTATTATACATATATATATTCAATATTACGTGTTCAGCGCAGATTTCTGCGAGCTAATATGGTATGTACGAAATATGGTATACGGAAAAGAATACGCGAATTCCATGATCGTTTGAGCTACTTTCATATGGTTGGTGAAACTGCATAAAATTGATAATGGACTGTCTGGCGGTAGGGCGACAGTGGCTTACCCCTTACAAAAATAAATGTGTTACAAAATAATCCTCTGTACAGGACGTGTGGGTATTACAAACCAAATTGTAGTAATTGTGATATCTTTAACTGCGGTGTCTGCTTTTAAGTTGTAGAAAAGAGAACAACGTATTCATTTTGTTTTTTTCTATTCTGATAATTAATTGTAAAAAAACGATTGTAAAATGTACCCAATAAATACATTTAAAAAAGAAATTTTGCGTCCATTTAGGTACATCTACCTTTGAACGTTGAACACAGTTATAATTCGACACAGATATAGGCATCATCATTATCATATCAGCCAGAAGACGTTCACTGCTGAACATAGGCCTCCCTCAATGATTGCCAGATATAGGTATAGGTATCTGTATTAAAAACTTAAAAAATAATACGGTAGGCACTGTAATATTTTTAAGTGTTTTTTTCTATATTGTTTGTGTCTGCTGTTGTTGTGTCATAAACAAAAATTTAAAAAAATTAAAAGACTGCTATGTCCGTCCGTTTGATGGCGGACAGCCCGTCATCAAATGTGAGCAGGGCGTTGAAGGAAAAATAGAGCGCCATGGCGGACAGAAAGTGCCAAAGGTCATGTGCGTCGTAGAAGCTCAGCACTTTGCACTCGTGGTTGCGGTTGCGCGAGGAGGCGGCCGTCGCCTTCCAGCTGGTGCTGCCATACCTGAAGAAGTATAGGGCGGGAATCCACGTCGCCACCGCACTGCCAAGAAACAGCCACACGTACCAGCGTGGGCGCTCGCCGTTCAGCAGCTTCATGATGAGGTAGAACACCATGTACATGAAAGTGTTGCATAGCAGCACGTACAGCACGTGTCCCGTGAAGTTGGTCGGCATCGTTACCATGCCGTTCACGGCGAAATACCAATTAACGACGTTGGCGATTAGCAACAGCGCCAGCCGCGCAACGTACAGTGGCCTCCCACCGGACGGCAGTTCGCGCAAACTACGCGTCGCCTCCGTCAGGCCGCGCTTGTTGAATGTGAACTGCCCCACGTAGTAGATGTGCAGCGACAGTACTAGGATCGTGAATATGTGCAACACCGTGAACAAGGCCCAGAAGATGGCGCCGCCGCCGAGCAAACCCCAGGTCACTGCGGCCAAATACGCGATTAATATAGGTTGCCTCTGGTTTCCTGAGTCGTTCGTGAAACAGGGGCGGAGGCCACTCACCCAACGCGATGAGCACGGCCAGCACGCCGAAGGTGGCGTGCGCGCGCACGTTGATGTCAGGGTGACGCGACTGGTAGATCGTCACCATGCCCAACACCATCAGGACATACATGAACGCCATGTCTGCAATATAGAAGATGCCGCATCAAGCCGAGTAGGCGCGGTGGAAGGCGACGTTCGGTCACGATGCCTTACCAAATTGTATGTTGAGCCGGTTGGGGCACACGTGATAACTGGCGGAGAGCACTCCGACTACCATGATGCCTACGCCCAGCGATTCCAGCATCCCGTAGTGCTCGGGAATACCGTATTCCTGCGGAAACGGTGCGGGTGGGAGTGACTGTCGAGCGTTAACACGACGCGCGTTACTCTTCACGTTACGCACCTCGTGTCGCGGCCGGCGTCTGCGTCGAGAACGACGCCGGCGTACTTGGATCACGAACAGCATGCCCAGCAGCAGATAGCCGAGGTTGGAGAACACGTGGTTGAAGTCGGAGAGCCCGCCCGCAGGGTTGGCGCACAAGAAGTTGTAGTAGCACAGATCCAGTGACCCCGACACGTTCAGGATCTACGAGACACGAATTGGCGTTTAGTTCGATTCGGAGGAGAAACGAGGCCGTGGCCGGGGTCGTACTGACAATCTGGAAAGTGATGACGAGTTGCACCACGGGTAGCGCATAGAAAACAGCGACGGTGCACAGCGTGGACAGGTAGCGGTCGGAACGCGCGATGAGAGTGCGCGTGCGCCGCCGCGCCAGCGCCGCCACGTTAAGCTTCGCTGGCAATCCGAACGGCGTCGGCGACGCCTCTGCCATCTGCTGTAGGTTAAATTGTTTTACATAGATTCGGTGGTGTTGCAAAATACATATAGGGCTACATCTGTGTAGGTGTTTGGGTGCGAACCTGTTCGCGGTCGCCGTCGCTATCGGCGGAGCGGCCCGCAGCACTCGCGTCGGTCGACACCGCTGGAGGTTCTTCGTCAGAATTACTGTCATCGCAGCTGTCGATCGTGGTGTCTGAACACAATTCACATCGTTAAACGTCAATTTTCTCAATACCTGCGATCAATCTTGTGTAGAGATTTATGCCGAGTTCAGAGGAACTAAAACACCAAGAAGTGTAAAACACTGACTGGAATCGCGGCGACGGCGGCGGCGCTCGAGACTGTCGGTACCGGTGGCGGCCTCAGCGTCAGTCCCCGTCTCCACGCCATTCACGCCTGACGAGCAAATGACACACATCTCATTGCAAAAATTATGTAAACCGCCTCTGTGGCCGAACGGTTACCATGCTGGACTGCCACGCAGAGGTCCCAGGTTCGATTCCCGGGTCGGGAGAAATATTTGTATGGCCCACATTTATTTCTCTCGTGCGTTTGGGTGTAATTTGTGGTTGTCTATGTGTGTGTCCATGGCACCCGCGACACAGGGTTTCTCTAGTGCGGGGCTATGTGTGTGTTGTGTGCGTGCGTGCGTGCGTGCGTGCGTGCGTGCGGTTGTGCGCGCGTGCGTGCGAGCGTGCGTGTTTGTGTATGTGTGCGCGCGTTATGTGTAGGCACACCCGTACTATTTATTTGATATAAGGAAGATAGGTACACACTCGTAGTATCGGCGAGGACGGCCTTAGGTGCGACGAGCGGCTTACAGAACGAGAATCGCTGCGCCAACACAAGCGCTAAGAAGGCCACGTAGAACACCAGGAACACCGCGAGGGTCACCACACATGCCACTGTGTACTGCGCGCGCGTCAGCGCCGCCTAAGCAACGGGACATGCTATTACGTTACAGTAAATATCAATCGTATAGCGATGTAATTACCATATAGTTGTAATTTACCGTAACAGTAACATTGAAATTTTTCCGGTGCGACCGCAGGCCGAGACGCGTGGAGGCGTCCTCGGCCTCGGTGAACGTCGTCTCCCACAGCCACTGAGGCTCAGGCTCAGACCCAGTCTCGCCGGTGCACGCTTCGTTAGTCTCTTCGACCAGTGCAACAACGAAGAAGCCTCGCGGGAATTTGCTGCGCTGCAACATGCGGTTTCAAATATGCGCACGGAGCGTACATAAATGTCACACACTTCACCTACCCTACTCAGATGTGCGCCGATGAGCTTACTATATCTTTTACCATGCTTACAAATCAGTCATTTCATGAAGGCACCTTCCCTGATATTTTAAAAACGGCTATAATAAAACCAATACACAAGAAAAATGAGAGAAATAACATAAATAACTATAGTCCTATAGCCCTTTTACCCACAGCTTCAAAAATTTTCGAAAAACTAATGTGTGACCGTATGTACAATTTTTGTGAAAAATATAAAATATTAGATGACTGTCAAAAGGGTTTCCGTAAAAAACGCTCGACTACATTAGCGGTATATAAATACGTTCAGGAAGTTCTTAACATTCTAAATAAAAAACAGGACGTCGCAGGAAGGTCGCAGGCATACTGTTAGACATGACCAAGGCCTATAATAAAGTCCAATAAAGTCCAAGTCCTATTAAATAAATTACACGGAATAGGAATAGGAGGCGTAGCGCAAAAGTGGTTCGAGTCATATTTAAAAGATAGGGAACAATTCGCAGAAATTGATAATTTTGATCACAACTCTGGTATAATTGAAAATATTCGATCTAACAGTAAAGTCTTTAATGTATGTATCCCACAGGGTAGTGTGATTGGATGCTTATTATTCCGAATCTACATCAACGACTTACCTAAAACTATAGAGGAACATTGTGTCCTATTTGCTGACGATGTCTCCTTGCTTACGACATGTCGTCATAATACAGATGTAAACGAACAACTTCACAAAATCTCCAAACCACAGTCAACTGGATGACCGACCATAACTTTGAGATTAACTTTGCAAAAACCAAATTAATAGCTTTGTATCCGTACCAAACGAATAACTTAAATATTAACTTTAATTTCAACAATATACATTTAGATTACGTTCAAGGATTTGCTTTGCTGGGCTGAGTTTTAGACACACATGTCAATTGGAAACCACATATTCAAAAACTAAGATCTAAAATCGGCAGATTTGCTGATGCACTTCGCGAAATTAAGAAAACAACTGATTTAATAACCGCAGTCACCACTTACCGCGCGTATGCCTACGCGTGGCTCAACTACGGTGTAATGCTGTGGGGAAACAGCACTGAATCTCCTTCAACTTTGACCTTACAGAAAAAATTAGTATGAATTCTTAAATTCTTAACATTCATATAACCGAAAGTTGCAAACCCTACTTCCAAAAATACAATAATTTAACTTTTACCATGCATTTACATTTTTGAATCTTGTAAGTTTGTCAGAAAATATCCTAATCTCATAGGAAATGAAACTATTATTATATAAACTATTTTTCCGGATTTAAATCGCGTATATTTGTTTTTTCAAACAAACCTAATTTAAATCCGGAAAAACAGTTTCATTTCCTATGTGTAACAATCGCGAAAACCCAAGAACTCGATATATCCTAATCTCTATAAAAAACGGCAAGTCATACCTACAAACTATTGTTTTCGACACCAAAACAGACTTATGTTACCAAATTCAACTCTTTCTTTCCATTCATCAACCCTATAGTGCCTGTAATGTCTATAAAAAATTATAATAAGTTACCAAACTCTATAAATAAAAGAAACACCCAGAGACAACAGTTTTATATCATATTTGAAAAAAAATTTAGTAAAAGTTATTACAATGCAAGCGAATATTTAAACGATAAAGAAATATGTTCTTATTAAAATAATTAATGTACACAGTGTATTAAGTCAACATAAGTGTATAAATAGTAGGCATAAATGCTACGGTAATATTTTGTTGTTACTATTAATTTTATTTTCTTTGTTAATAGCATACATAGATATTTATTTATTAATCTTTCAAAATAATAATATAGTATAATAGTTTTTATTTGAGATTTAAGAGTTGTCTTTTTGTATAAATTGTATTGTGTTTCACGTAAGGTTTTTTGAAGATTTTATTTGTTAAATGTTGCCCTCTCTGTGTGTTTTTGCTGTGCCCAACAGGGTCCCGAAGCTCTAATTTAAGCGTGTCCACCTGCTTCATTGTGAACTATTGCGAATGCAATAAACTATTGAGTACTTTATAGTAGCGGGTACTCACCGCGAGTTGCACTGCGCCTGAGCGCATCACGGACATGCGCAAGCCGCGGCGCGTCGCCTCCGTCGGTGACTCGCCCACCGGGCACTGGAACATATCCACGTCCCAGCACATTACTCGTCACCTATATTTACTTTTTATTTTATAATTAATTTATTCAGAAATAACAGAAGGTTCACCGAAGCAATAATATGACAACAATTATAATTAAAAAATTACATTGACAAGTGGAGTCCCAGGCACATATTTTTTTGGATCTAAATTGCGTATACTTGTTTTTTCAAACAAACCAATGTTTCGGGCCCTTTACGGGTCCCATGATCAAATGACCAGGACCACCACCGATGACTAGCTTGTCTTACCTGTAAATGTCCCGCAACGTTGTTTTGTTTGCAAAACAAATAACGTGGCTTCCGATAAAATAGGTCCATTTCCAATGTGCAATAATCGACAACCTAAAACGATATGGATATAATTCGATGACGAAATACGGCTTACCGAATTGTTTTGCACAGACACGGTGGCGCAAGTGTCGTCGTCCGATGCGATCACCAGCCGCACGTGGTCCTGGCCCTCCAAGAACTCGTACAGGTACGCGCGAGGGGATGTCTGCACAAAATACCCCTCAACTTCCATAAAGCAAACCATTTACACTTTTATGGATTCAGACGGGCATATGTGCTTAAGTAGTAACTATGCTGTTATTATTTCTTCTGGTGCACCCCAAGGTTCATTATTAGGGACCCTTTTGTTTGTGATATTTATCAATGATATCGGATCGTGTTTTTTTTTATTATAAATTTTATTATTCGCGGATGACATATACTATTTCATGCAATCGTTGCACAATGAGTTTTCGTAAAATCGAGAACCGTCTTTAGTACGAGATTTAAAGACTTTATTATGTAATGATTGCATACGGTACTTTTTCCACGATTAAATAAAATAATAATAAAAATAATAACGCGCACACACTCATAGCCCCGCACTAGGGAAACCCTGTATCGCGGATACTATGGACACACACATAGACAACCACAAATTACACCCAAACTTACGAGAGGAATAAATGTAGGCCAACAAATATTTCTCTCGGCACGGGAACCGAACCCGGGACCTCTTGGGTGGCAGTCTAGCATGGTGACCGTTCAGCCACAGAGGCAGTTATGAAACCTTATATAATGAAGCGTGACCATTATTTTAGTGCATATTTTGTTAATTTTTTATATATTTAGAAAAAATTTCGCCTCTTATATAAACGGCTCTTCATATATTTAGATGAAATCCAAACAAACGCTACAAAACCAAAAAACCAAAGAGATAGAATAGAAATGGCCAAGTAACGCCTAAATTTTAACTATAATAATTTTGTATATTTGTATTGTATTGTATTTTGTATTGTAATTTAACTAATTAGGAGGCAGTAGATCGTTTGAACGGCGTCATATTTTCTATTTTAACTGGCAAAAATACGAAGGTCTTTTTTGAAACCCATTATAGTTCTGTGTGAACTATAATGACATTTTTCAGATCGGTTGCAACCATGTTGCGACGGTACCGAGTACCATAGACAATAGAATTTTGATTCTGTACTAAAAAGAGCACCTTTGTGTTTATATTTTCATCACACTTGCTCGTAAATAGTATAATTGCATGGTGGCTAAATTGACTATAGTGCCCCAAAAAAAACCATCGGGCCTTTTTTCCCCCTTCTCAATACAGCCATGGCCGATAAGATTTTTTTAATTTGTAGCACGACATACATCCTTACATAGATCAAGTTCAAGTTCAATCAATGACGTTACTTCAATTTAAAATTAATTCGCATAAAATGTTATAAAAACAGAAATTGCAATTCAGCCACATACCACTTAAATACTTATTATTAAGAATTTCTTATAATTGATTTTAATTATTTTCTATCTATTAATTACAATATACGGCAGTGCTATCTGTTAATTAAAAAAGAACATATTTATTGATACAAGAAATGAACATTGTGTTTATTTCCTCGCAAATGTGATGAAAAACATTGTATGCATCACGAACGGTAAAAAAATAAAAAACTCGAGTTATTAAAGCCCTCAGACTTCGGCTTCGTTGGACTACACCATTGTAAGAAATTTCATCTGTTACCTTCTATTATGTGTCTGCGGACAAATATAGCTGATGCCTGTTTTTTGCTGAACATTGCACAGTGCATGGTGTATGGTTGTTTGCCAAGAGCTCATCAATAGTACCATACTCGAAATTCCAGTTACAAAATTTCGTAAGTATAATTTGCCCCGTGTTCTATTTAGTCGCACTAATTTTAGAATTAATAGTTACCTACCAAGACCATTAACATTGTTTAACCAACTCAATGACGACGGCCGCATAGACCTTTTCTGCAATAGCGTTCAGAATATAAACACAGTTACGATTAATAACTTCTTGTCGAGTGACCGATAAGGCGAATGTCGCGTTCTCGTAGATGCGGCAAATTGTGTCATTGTAATGTTATTTTCTTATGGTCACACGTGGAAGCTTTTCATTGGCATATGATGATGATATGCAAAAGTAGCTGGAATCCTCCCTAATGAAATAAGATATCGACCTGGTCGACGGCGAAGCGATGATCGCTCTGGAAGGGCAGCCGCCAGTCGCGCAGCGGCGTCGCGCGCATGTCTAGACGCACGCTCGAGCGACAAGCCGACGACACGTGTAGGGAGAACGCGCCACGCACTGCGAGTGCGCTATCATCTGCTGTAATTTCGGAGAGCTATTGCACGTCTTCGCTGCAGAGTTACGAGCGCCTACGACAGATGCGCGAAGAAGACTGACCGCAGTCGGGCGAATCAACGGCATTGACGGCGTAGGCGTCGTAGCACAGCGTGCGCGTGAGCTCGTAGAACGTGTACCGTCCGCTCGCGGAGAGGTACGGCAGCTGCCAGGTGAGGGCGCCGCTGCGCTGGCGGGCCGTGAGCAGGAGCGGCTGCGCCGGCTCGCCGCCCGAGCTGCGCACCCACAGCCGCGTCGGCCACGCGCCCTCGTCGTCTTTCTGTGCAACAAATTGTGCAGGTGTACCTAAGGATCGTTAGGGAGGGTCACTATAATCAAAACTAATGTAGGAAGATATAGGGCTGCTAAATTCGCGGACCTAAATTCTTATTTTGTATTTAATTGAGGTAAATATCGTTTCACAATCACCTGATCTAAATAAAGGTCATGAACTTGCACGGCATTTGCTACCAAAACTTATAGTCGCGGGCCGACAAAGGAACCGCCAAAGCGTTGCCATCTCTTTCTAAAACGCATTAGCGCCCGCACCTCAACAGTCAAAGTCGAAGTCAAACAATCTTTTATTCCATAGGTAAAATGTTTACACTTGAAAACGTCATTTTTTAAGCTGCTGTTCGTTCACTGTGCCGACTTCCATGAGAAGACACTCTAGGAATTGCGCTTTTCAAATAAACTTAAATGCTATAGAATACACTTTGAATCATATTTGTGTGGAATCTGGACTCATGTTGTCTTTAAATGCATCTTTATCTAACACATAATATTTGTAATATGACTTTTCAATTAAATACTTTTAATGTAAGTTTTGAACTTAGGAAATAGTAATCTTAATAAATACTCGTATGCTCCGGAATCTTATTGTAAAAACGTATACAGTTCCCCATAAAAGAATCGTTTACCTTAGTTGAACGAAATCGTGGTACCATGAGTTTGGATTTAGTTCTAAGGTTAATATTATGGGTATCTTCTTTCATAACGATATTTACTGTGATGCCACAGTCATGATACCAGTCTCCTTAAACTTTTCTCTGAGAGAAACCCGAGAACCTAAACGGTACACAGAACGAATCGCTCGTTTTTGCAACACAATTTTGGTTTGTATATCTGCCGCTTTACCCCACATGCGAATCCAGAAGGACATTATACTATGGAAGTAACTGAAATAAACCAGTCTAGCAGTAGCAACACCGGTAAACTCACGTATTCTACGGACTGCGTATGCAGCAGAGCTTAATCTGCTGGCTAAGGAAGATACCTATATGTGGAAACCATTGGAGTTTACTATCTAAGGTTACTCCCAAAAAGACAGCTTTATTAACAAGGTCTAACTTTTTTCCATTTATTTCAGCGATTGAGCTCACTTTGTCTCCTTGGAGAGAACAAAAATAAAACTTGAAGAGATGGAAAATACTCGCATATCGTAATACATAAATGCCTCTTAGCTCTTTTATTTCAATAAGCCACAACACATTTCTTTGAAAAATGTAATTTACGAATAGGGTAACGAAAATCAGAAAATTTTGAAACCAAACTTACGGTAATTAGATACTTATGTAAATTGCGAGCGAATACGTCGACACTCGCACATGCAAACATTTACTGTTTTGAGAATGGCCGATTTGTGTCAGTGACGTTTTAATTTCTTAAATAGATTGCTACAGAAATTTCTATACGTAGGGTGAGCCTACACTAAATGATAATTGATAAATGATATATATCATAAGACAAATGATACACTGATTTAGTGGTATAATAATGATATAATGATGGACTCGAGTGTCCGATGCACACTGATGGAAATAACGCGGCACACGCCACACGTAATCCAATATTGCAGCAGACACATTTTTATAATGTAGGCTATTAACCGTACTCATATAAGAAAATCTTAAATGACATTATTTGTCAGACTAAATGATAGTAATAAATTTCATAGATCATCCGGTAGGGGGCGCCACTAGGAGTAAACACATGAATTACATAAAAATAAATAAAGTTTCTAAGTTATTGTGAAAAGTGAACCAAAATGTTAGTTAATGCTACAAATGTGGACAATTATTATTAGTGACGTAAATTGTACTAAATACTAAAAAATGCGTATAGTGATATAATTTGTGCCAGGATGTAGTTTATATGTGTATAATTATACTGGTTTATATGTAATGAAAACCCAGTGGAAATGCTAATGGATCCGTTGAGGAACTAAATGCAAACATATAACTTTCAAAATATCTCTGAACATTGTTCGATTTCTAAAATATTGTGTTGAAAAAAACCGTTAGTAGGTAGTGAAGTTAAAAAATGGACATAGTTATGCATACAAGAACCAACCCACACTACGAGTGAAATTGAGTTATGAATTGATAAATGATTGCAATAATATCCAATTGTATGCCGTAAAATTGGCAATACGTACTGACACAACAATGTTAAATAAGATCTTATAGACGTGCGTACACAATAAATGATTTGATTTAAATTTAGGTAGAACACCAGACGTGTCCTTTAGCCGCTCACAAAAAATCCTGACAATATACCAAGCCAAAACGGAGAAAATGAAAGTCCTTCTAAATAAGTAACTTTTTAATAGCTAAAAAGAACCATGCTGCTTAACTTCATAATGTATTTTTTTAAATGTGCTAAATAGATCCATGTCACATGTACTGAAGTACTGTAGATCTTTAGCGTTTTATTACGAAAACTAGAACATGGTTCTCGTTAACGAAATAAAAAAATACAAAATGTTTTCTATTTATTGCTGTATAATATAATAGTTTCCCTATATCATTCTCAATGCTACACATAACTCACGTTGTTTGTCTCAAATAACTTACCTATTTATTTCTTCACACTGTTTTTACAAAATCTAATTATCTCGAAAGTGACATTATGTGGGTTGGTTCTAGTTTGCATAACTATGTCCAAATAAAGAATCAAAGTGAACTTTGGATTCTCCATGTTCATGTTAACTAACAGGAAGAAAGACTCACAATTTACGACTGTGACGTCATATGCGCGATGGATTAGTGGTTTCACAGTGAGACACAGTTGTCAATCACCCTGCGTTCAAACCCAAGGGGCGTAATAAATTTATTTAGCGCCATTTAGTGACAAGTAGCGGTATTTTGATATATAACTAGAACTACAGACATATTTTCCTAAGAGAGGACAATACCCGTTCATCAACTTATCACAACGTCCAAGTCCGCTAGAGGGAAACTGTACCACTTTGCTATGGCAACTTGTGCAAAATGTAATGTGAATGAAGGTCGTAGATTTACAAGCTGCTTGACTTACGAAAAGCTCTTCCATCTACCATGTGCACATATCACATCTCCTAGATTCCACCTGATGAGTCCGAGTCGAAAACAGACTTGGAAATGCAATCAATGTTGGGAACATATCGTCGGTCGGCATTCGGTACCGCGAATGTGAATTTGGGTCACTGTACAGGAGGGACAAAAAACTGATTAGTTTATAATATATGCTTTACTTTACAGTGTTGTAATTGTTATTTAGCATTAATATTATTAGTTTTTGTTACCAATATCATAAAATCTAAAAACTACGTTGATATTTTGTAATAATGCACATTAGCGGTAATAACTTAACAGTCTTGGTCAAGAGTGGAACATTCGCGGATTCTATAAAGGATATTTGGTCGTTTTGTAGTTACATTGGCGGTTATGATTCAGGAATAAAACTAAATAAGAAAGCGATATTAAATTTTAATGACTTACTAATTTTGCAAAAATCAGTCTCAGAAATGGTGACATCAAAATACACAACTTATAAAGTATTTTAAGTTTTAAATATCACAATATTCCTTTTCAAAAGTAATCAACTTTAAAATAAAACAATCACTACAGTATTCTAAACTCTCTGAACATAAACTAAAACTCTTCTAAAGCACAAATTAAAAACTTCTATAAAAAAATAAAAAGCAGCATAAGCTACATTTAAAAACAATCAAGTTAAAAAATTTTCAAGCAATAATGTTATATTGAACATTTAACAATTAATCCAAATGAGGCAAATTGTCATAAAATGTTCTGTAGCTGGGACGTAGAAGACATTTTGAAGCCGTGAGTCAGGTAGGTCTAACATGCTACGAAAATCATCACAGGCACCAATTGGGGCGCAGTCGGAAATATTGTTCGCAACACTTGAAGTTCGTGAATCGGGTAGATCTGGAGCACATTTATAATCATAATTAGTCGCATTACCTTGAACCCCTCGTAGTGGGAGAATTTGATTTTTACCACTATCTTGTTGTAGGTTTGGGTAATCTTGGAAATCAGGCTCAGTAGCTGCAATACAGTAGGTAATTTCAATCCGTGAATCGAGTGTGGCTGGCGCACTACAAAAGTTATCAACAATTTCTCTGTTTTCAAGCAATGGTTTTAGGTGAATTGGAGAACATGCGACGAAGTTTTCAAGATTTATTGATTCTGGTAAGTTTTCTTTTCCAGAACATGATGCTAAATAATAGTCAGATCAATCGTTTTTAATTTCTTTGACTGCACGTGTCGATTTCTTTGGCGGCCTTGAAATCATATTCGCGGTACTGAATGCCGAACGACGATATGCAATCTAACGAGGAAAAATCTCTAACGAACACGCAAGTTTTGTTACAGATCAGAAGTATAGAGTAAACATTCCGACATGTGATTCTTTTGATTCGTTATCCGAGGATGAATTCTCAGATCTATCAACTAACTCTACTAAACTCGACCGAAGTTGTCCGGAGGTGCAATTAAATGGAAGTGAACAGTCAGAGGAATTAAAAGAGATGAACTTCAATTAGAAATAAAATCTGCGGATTAAGAAATTAAAAATCTGCTCTCCGAAACTCATGCATTAAAATCGAATCGCACAATTAGAATCACTCAATAAAGCTATTTGTGTCAAAGCTTCTCTACTATGTTTCTCTACGAAAAAAGTATCTACAAGTAAAATCCAACGAAGCTCACTAAAAAAAGGGTATTGCAATTCTACGGATAAATACGGATTATTCCATTACAGAACAAACTGAAATCGAACAAAAAGATCATGATGTTCAGTTATTGAAGTCACCAAATACTTAAAATATTCAAAAGAAAAGTGAAACAGAAATGAGCGACGAAAACTCAAAAACAAAAAATGTTAAAATTAATCTACAACAAACAAGAAAGTTATGTATTATAAGTAGTAATTCTAGAAATAAAAATATACAATTTACGACAGGTATGATTAACCACACGGAGATCTGTCATTATATTACATCAGGGGCTAGTACAAGACAGCTTCTGAAAGGCATAGAAAATAAGCTACTCGAATTTAACTTCGATGACTATTGTATCATATTTATAGGTGAAGCTGACTTTAAAGAGACGAACAAGTATTCAGATTCTTTGAGAGATAAGTTTAAGGAAATTAACATTCAACACTAGCCTCACAGTACATTTATGAAAATGTAATTTATGTTAAAAGGAATAGTAATTTCTTTATGAAAAATAGTGACAGACATAACATTAATACGAGGAATAAAAATAAACTAGCTTTTCTTGATAGTCACGTTCACAAAGTCAAAAAATCATTTAAGGGGCAATGTATACGCTTCTATAACAAGATTCCGGTTGATATACTAAATTTGCCTTTCACGAGGTTTGAAACTATAGTGAAACAAAAACTTTATAGTAAAGGTTATTATACAACTCCTGCGTACTTGGATGACAAAAATCCGTGGTAGTAACCCGTTTAGCTCATGGAGGTAGTCTCGATCTCTGATGTTTCAAATAAAAATAAAAAAATATTGTAAATGCTATTTACAAAGAGCAACACCTAGAGTTTCTTGCTCATTCTTCTCAGGGGAATCTGCCTTACGAATGAGCGGCAGAGTTTAACCATTGTGACGATTTCAAGTGTAATAATGCTTACCTATGAAATAAAGATTATTTTGAGTTTGAGTTTGAGTTTGAGATTTAGTTGCAAATATAAAAACGCTACAAAAAGTGCAACATACAAATACCATAATCTGTTTGCCTACTTATAAAGTTAGTTAAGAAAAAACTCTGTACAATAAACGGGTGGAAACATTTAGCAATCTGTTGTATCAGGATAATAAGTGTTATGAATATGTTTATTTGTTAGATAGCAACAAAAACTTAGAATACTCTTCAAGAATATTTACTACAAGGGGTGGTTTTGTGAATAACGTTGGGTATAAAGTTATAATTCAAAATTTAAATGATTTAATATGTGAAACCACACATTATTATTATTATTACTTAAATTGCATAAATGACAATTCTGAACGATTGTGACAATACAGTCGAAAACCATACTAACTTTAATTATCCAGATCAGAATAAAATTTTTTTTCGTTAATAATATAAAATGTAAATACTTAAGATTGATGCACCAAAATATAGGTGGATATGTCTAAAAAAGCATTATTGGATGTTGCAATTTCTGAGTTACACTCAAATCAAAAGGGCCCGGGCATTATTTGTTTATCTTAAACAATGATTAGAGTAGGTAACGAAAGCCGTATAATTATAAAGGTTATGACCTAGCCACAACTCATTGCAGCAAAATAGGAAAAGTAGAGGTGGAACTTGTATACTAATAAGCAATAAACTTAAGTTTCAAAGGATAGACGATCGAATAAGCTATACTTAGGATACAATATTTGAATGCTGCGGTGTAAAAATACTGCCACATAAGATTTACATAATATGTGTATATAGAGCTCCTAACTCAGATATAAAGCTTTTCTTATCAAAATTAGATGAAATATTACACCGATATACAAAGAAGACTAAAAGTAAAGTAATTCTAGCTGATGACTTAAACATTAATACTCTAGAGACTAAAGTATCAAAAAACGTTACAATTTTCTTGGACATATTAAAAAACTACAATTTGACAATACACTTTACTGAACCTACTGGACTTAATACTTGCTTTGACCGTTTACTTGGCAACGTTGACGAGGCTTCTGCTGAATTACATCATTTACATCTGTCAGATCACAATACGGCGCAAATCTTACACATACCGGTCAGTAAAAGAATTGTTCAGCCTATTGAATATTATTTAAAGGTCCGAGAATATAGTAGTCAAAATCTAGAGAGATTTCGTAACTATTTAAAAGAATTCTCGTTCGTAGAGATATTAAAGGAGCGCGATATAAATAAAGCCATGCAACATTTCCATGACACCTTAACCGTATTGCATAAGCTCAACTTTCCCTATTAATTAATTAAAGTTTCCAATAAATATAAAAAACCAAAATGGATCACTAAAGGTGTCAGAAAAAGCTGTAAAACTAAGAGAACATTGCGTTACCAATATTACACCGTAAAGTTAGATATTAAAAAACAACAATATCGGTTGTACTCGAAAATACTACGCAAATGTTTAAACGCAGCTCAAAAGTTACACAACGACAAACTTATAAAAACGCAAAAAATAAAGTAAAAACATCTTGGAAAATTGTGAAAAACGAGTTTAATAATATTAATAGTGAATAAATCAATTCATAAATGAAATTTTAATAAATGATAGTACTATAACTGACCCTGTCTCCCATTAAGTTCACGGTAAGAGGAAAGCCATTCTCTCACACTTTGTATGACTCTCTAGCTGTGCTAAAGCGAACACCCGCGCCGCGCGGGGCCCGCGGCGGGGCCGCGTTATTAGGGTTGTCGCAACGCGTGAAGTCAACAGCTCAACGAGATTTTTTCAACTGCACTGATTTTAAATTTACAGTATATAAAATTTATGTACAAGATTTCTTTTTATTCCACAAATCCCCACTATGTAACAAGTACCGCATTAGTGGGGATCGGTGGTATAAAATTTGATGATCCCACCACTGGCGATTGGTGGAACAAACCGTTGTTATGCATTCGAATGAGAATTCACCCTGAGTATATTATTTGGGCCTAATTTTATATAAAAGCGTGCATTAAATAGGTACATTATAAGCGCGGTAACAAAACTTCATGAAGTATACTTATGCGTAACAAGTGACGTTTTCGTATGGAAATGAAACGACAATGGAATTGAGCAGAAGAAATAATTGATTGTGAATTATAATACAACCACATCAAACGCGCATAGTTTCAGTATTGCCAATTTAACAACTGCCCAAAGTTTATTCTACGGCGACACTCACCGGCACGAAGTCGAAGATGTACTCGATGCTGCTATTGACGGAGAACGAATGCTCCTTCTCGAATGGCAGCCTGCCACACAACAAAACGTATTCATTAAGTACAGTAGATTACCATATTTCCTACAGTCCATTCACATACTTAGTATGCTGCATATTATGTACTGTAAGGATTATACAATATTTAATTCACTACTAATATTTTTCCCTGTTTTAGTTAGGAAATTAGCCTTGCATGTTTGTAAAGATGTTCGTAATATTTTATTATGAAAACTAACACGGTTATCACACTTTATAATATAAAAGTAACGGGACTTACTGGCGTAGTATTTTAGTCGACGAGAACTGTAGTTTGACGCAATGTATCAGCCTCCCGACTTCCCCACTGCGGACTGCGTCATCGGCGCGCGCGCAGAGCCGCAGCGCGCAGTGCTAGACGTGACGCGGTCGCGAACGTTGCACTCAACCCCTGAAGAAGACCATCGATTATGGTCGAAACTAGTCGGACCATTTCCGACTAAAATACTACGCGAGTAAGTCCCGCTACTTTTATATTATAATAATGTTCGTAATATATTATTAAAAGGGACAGTAAAAAAGAAACAAAAATATGCGAATTGCGACGATTTGGAAAAAAGTGTGGTCTGGGAACTAATAAAATAGCAGGAAACGAATACGAGTATAACGAATTAACGAAACAAACCACAAAAAACATACAAAATCTGTTATATATTCATTTTTCAGGCTCAATAAATCGTGTTAGTAATATTACTATATAATTATTAATACAAGGATCGAACACTCGGAAAAAATTCCTTCGATTCGACGACTTCTAGCACACCCTGTCAGACGCTATACCAACTAAACCACGGAACGAACCAGCGGACCTCACGAATTTTTCTATGTGCTTACGTTGTATGTGTAATTTCCCATAAAAATAATTGAATATCAATTCAATAAACATTTAAATATTAGGTACTGTGTAGATAACAAAAGTACGTAACTAAGACGACAACTTACTAATTATAAAGTACTTTCTGGTCAGTCTGAACGGAATCACATTTTCATAAAATCCTGATGCTCATAGATTAAAAATGCATTGGCCTCTGCCCGGTTTTTAGTCACCTACCTACCACATACGTGATCATGGGACTGATATATAGGGGACGAGATTTCAACTGTGAATCTGTTAGACCTTTTCAATCCACCACTTTATCTACTGTCTAATAGGTTTAGTTACAAAAGTGATAAAAGACTATTATGTCTATACTAAAAATACCGACGAAAACACTCGCCAGAGAACGGAAAGCTTGACTGATCGCGACCCAATTTCCTACCTTTGAGCACCGCCCTGACGAACTGAGCGCGTGCCGTCTTATCGTTTGCTGCTTGATGCGAACTTCACGAGGTGCTACGATCGTTTAGAGCAAAAACGTACGAAAATAGTACTATTTGTAATAATTTTTATTATCTGGCTGAAAGTATTCTCTTGTACATAACGATTCCCGGTTCGGACAGGCGAATATTTAAAAATCTTTGAATGCAGTTCGAATTGTTTTTAAACCAAAGTGAAGTCTTCATTCGATCGGATCTATTCAAGCAATTCCTTATCCCGGCGGCGAATAATAACGTGAGTTAGCATTTCTTTCGTTTACCCACTTTTCACAGTAATTAGTTCGTTCGTCACAAGCAATGAACGGAAAAAGATGTTCCACATACATAGATACATTTATAGATACAGCTACAAAGAGCGACATAGAGTCGTTAAATCCACCAAATATTAATTAATTACGTTTTTCGAATTCCGGATTTGTGGACGAAAGAAACTCCTCTCCTTATTCTACTTATGAAGATAAATAGCCATACACGGGTGAGGCCGTCAAAAATGGTGCTTTTTCGTCTTGTTTAAGTGGCTAACAGTTTTTTGTGAACACTTTCCTTTTAAAATATGACATTTCTGCTAGTGGTCCGAATTTATGAACATCTATTATACTGTATCTTTGAATTTAAATAAAATATTTTTAGAGCGCGATCACGATTCTCATGCAGACTAAAATGTCCTAAAATTACCCTTGTTAATAAAATTTTAAATTATTTTTTCTCTACGTTCTACTAGCAGACGTCACCGTTCCGTCAATGTAACCGTTAATATGCGGTATCTAAAGCTAGGGAGGGGCGGAAAGTGACCATTCGCGGCGCCGGACAAGAAAAAAAATCTTGTCTACCCCCGACGCGACGCGCTCTGCTGCTATTGCATAGGGCGCATTATCAGTAAACGAACCTTTATGCGCGTGGACTGATTTTGCAAATTACCACTGTTGCACCACTAATTTCATTGCGACTAATAAAATGCATGATTTATTTCTAAGTTTAGTATAGGAACGACCCGTATTGTGCGACAAAACCTTAGAGATTTATAAAGATAAACGACGTACTTTTGAGGCATGGAGAGAAATATTTATTATTCTATACATATAATTTGCATTCACCATTTTTTTTAATTAGTAGTCAACATATTTCTTCACACAGTCGGTAGTAAAACGACAGCTATCTGAAGGTGCACTGACACGTTTACCCTACACACGTCTGCCCGAAAACATTCGTATCGTGTACATACTCATCATTTTCTTGTCCGCAACAGACACGAAATATTTTCGTGGCTAGATCCGACAAAATTCTTGTCGTGTACAAGGCCATTGTCGTTCCACGACGAATTTCTTAGCGTGTACACACGCCGTAAGTCAGTAGTTTTGTGCTACGATGCAGTAAAACTATTTCCAATTCATTTCGAAACAATAAGGACACCTAAGGTTATAAGACATTAAAGAAAAAACTGGTTCTAGGAATGTAACTTTATTTATCAATTAACAATGTCAACAAATTTTAGATTCAAAATACATGAACAAAAATCATAGATATAAAAAAAAATGCACCTCTCCATAAACATACTTCAAAATATAAATCAAACTCTGGTAACAAAAACGGCTATAACTGCAAGTGCCATCAATGACCGGACAGTCTTAACTTCAAGCTCCCAAGGCCAGACGTCTTTAAAACATCGTGCACCGATCGCAAATGTAGATTTCTGAACATTCAGGAATGTCTGCACGTACTTAGTGAGCCCACTAACGGCAGCTGGAGCACTGTATCCAGTCTTCGTCGTGGTCTTCTTAGCATACTACGCAAGTAGTCGGGCTTATTCCCTGAACGCCGAACGCAATAACTTGAACCTTATCAAGGCGAGGGAATAGGTATTCTTTCTCTTTTGTTGCTGTTCTGAACTTCCTACCCAATTCTTTCTTGTTGTCCTTAACACTTTGCAAGGAAAATATGTAGCAATACATGTGAAGCCCGCGTCATTAAAGCGTCAGGTGATGCGTCTTGCCGGCAGCCATTTCAGTAACTCCGGCGACGACGTGTGGCTATGTGCGTGGAGCTGTCAAAATATCACGTAAGTAAAATTTTTGGTCTGTCTTTGTTTATTATGGGCCGATTCATACGTAACTTTTCTCAACTATTTTCCGTGTCACGTGTGTTCTGTTGCCGGATCCGCTGAAAATCAGCGTCGTAGCACTTGAATGTGAGACGACAACAAGCTGAGTGGGTCACGGTTTCCTTGGCAGCACAGCACACATGCTTTGTGCTCCATATATTATATTTATATTATTAGTATTTAGTTTCAAATCCATAGGTTATTATTACGATTATTATCAGTATTATTATTATTATTATAAAATGCATGTGTACTGTGTGTTTCAAGGAATAAATTATTTCTTTCTTTCTTTCTTTCAATTGTAGTGACATTAGTAAGGAATCTTATTGTTTGAGTATTTTTTTGATTGATTCTATTACTTTGCCGGTATGTCAGTCTTCGCATAAAAACGTAATTTGGGGCTATAAGTTCCTCTTTCGAGGGGCTGGTTGTTACTTGGAACAACTTCCCCAATTGACCTGCAATCATACTTAAAATTTTTATGACCATTTTTCTTTGTTTTAGGGATGTCAAACTACAAACGGGCTCATGTCAAATATTTAGACAAGATGACAGAGTCACTTATGTGTGTCTCAACTGTGATTCAGATAAAGAAATAACCGATGAATAATATTGCTGATGAATAAAAATGTAGTTTTTTTTTTAAGTTGTGCATAATATAATGTTCCGCTCCGAAATTTGTCAAAAATTAGCCTCTATGAAAAAAACTATTGAGGTATTAGTAGAAGTGACTATACCATTACAAAAAGCGATAAACATTTGTTCAATATTTCCATATGTTGAACATCAAATCCTTCATTTTCAGTATAAAACTGCAAGTTATTTGAGAATCGGAACGTTCAGCCCAAAATTCCCTAGTTCGAGGACAGGAAATTCCGATAATTTTGTATTTTATAGCAAAAGTTCTTTAAAAATTCACAATGACTTTTATAAACTTCGAATACTTATAGAACATTACGTATAATAACAATTACCGTGAACACTTAAACTTAAAATATTGTAGTAATACTCACTTTGATCTTGCGTGACGCAATGTATTCCTGCCAAAAGCAAAAATCTACTGCTCCCACCTTGGTCTTGGTCTTGGTCACTGGCAAATCGTGTCTCGCGAACCTGTATCGCTGTAACTATGTTCTCCCGCGCCCTTTTTACCCATTTTTTGATCGAACGCATTTTTAAGAGTGTCCTACGTTAGGTGCCGTCGGGCGTTAGGGGACTTCCTCCTAGATGTGCATGCTCCATCATCGACCTCATCGTCACTTTCCATCAGGTGAGATGGAGGTCAAATGCACACTTAGGTACATCAGTCAGCGGTCAGCGGGTTCTGGGGTCATCGTTTAGGTTCTCTCCACCAAGCTTTAATTCTCGAAACTAAAGAGTAACTGTTGCTAATGCTGACTCCCCAAAAGCAATTTGTAAATTGACGTGAGATTCCTTGTAGGTTAACCTTCGTTCATAATCATGGAAAATCATAGCATGAAAGCATCCTGCGAGGCGTCCATTGTTGCAAAAAAGAAGAAGAGTGACAGATAAATTTTAAAACTATTTAAAAAAAGAATTACACTTAGGTGGTTAATGAC